TTTGGGGCTATTTATGGGGAGGCAAACAGGCATCTTGTTTTGCTCTGTAAAAATAAACATACACGTTACATAACCAGCTAATCATGTACTCTGCTAGATTTAAGCCACAGCACTTAATCTGTTAAACAAGCAGTTCTCTAAATGACTGTGCTTAGACCCACCAAACAAACAACCAGGGCAGGTCATGCATCTGTTCTGTTTTTAGATAGAGTTTATTAGTGGTTAAATGCACAATTAGGTTTGCTCTAGAAGGTGTCTTCAAAAAGGAAGAGACCTAATTTCAATTAAAGATTAAAAAACATATATGAATTAAAGAGGGAGATGACATACTCCAATTCGATAAAGAATTCAGTGCTAAAGAACTAGGAGTTTTTATGTTTTCTTAAACTGAAAAAGGAAATAGAATTTTAATGCACAGAATAATTTCATCAATTTTTGTTAACATTCAGCACAGTAATAAAATCATCAGGGCAAAAGAAAGAAATTCTCCTATCAAAGCAACTGAGAGGGAGAGGAGGAAAAGCCCAGTACCAAATTTCTGTATCAGAATATCGAAAGAATATTTTCAACAAGTTAGAGGCTTCACTCAGCACTCCCCTACCTACCCTCCTACACAAGTTAAGAATTACTGTAAGAATTGCAGTCAGAAAAGGTCAAAAAAATTTTGCTAGCAATTTCATCAATTTTGTAATACAAATGCAACATACTGAAAGATTAAGTCAGGTTTACAGTATTCCAGAACAAAGCTTTTCCCCCCCCCCTTTGTCTCTCTCTCTCTCTCTCTCTCTCCTTGCACAAATAAAGGGAGAGGCTCTACAATAAAGAAAAAGATGAACTAGAATAATTCTAGTTAAAAAAAGAAACACTAGTTTCTTTCCAGCCACATTTAAAGTACCGGCTGACAAAGAAATCCTGCCTGTGGCAAATCATTCCGTCTTTTGATGGCTAAATCCGATTCCCTTTTTATTCAAAGTTATCACACTTGTCTCCCAGCCCTGCCGTCACCCTCGAGTCACAGGGACCAGAACAAGGCTCCCCTGGGGCTCCTGGCAAGAGCCACGGTCACCTCCACATTCATCCACAACTTGTGTTTCCAGTTACTCCCCATTCCAAAGGGGCAATCAGGATAAAAGGAACCAGACACGAGCTATAAAACTTTTATACAACTCTCACCACTTCAAGCTCGAGTACAACAGGACACTGACTGTTACAGGACCCTTACACTGTCGTGCTGCTATTTTTGCAAATTATGCAAGGAGAAATGAGGCATGAAATAACTGAAAGCACAGACACCTGCTCCAAATTTAGTTTCAATCGGGCTTTTTTCTAAACGCCTTTTGCCTTGTCACTGTGACACTGGTTCCAACTTCGTAAGATCTCGCTGCTCTCCATCCCCAGGGGGATAGTATGGCTAACACCCTTCAACTGCATATTCTCCACTAACTTTTTAAAATACATTGTAGAGGAACGCTGCTACCTTAAAAGCCATTTACTACATCTATCCCTTCTCCATACGTGCAGCAGCTTTCACAGGTATGTACAATATTAGTGTTGCTCAGGAAATAAAGAGTGACAAGTTTTTGTTATGTCCAAGACATGCCCATTCACAGTCACACTCTGCTCACTCTGCCTAGCACTTCAATCCTGAGGCTTTTAGTGGGTACCAGCATTAGTACCTACATTTGTCTTTCCATTGAGTTTTTTAAATAACACGCACTCTACATTTAGCAGGCACATTCACAAGCCAGTCTCTTCTTGCTCTGTCTTCCAAGCTCTCAAAACCAGCTCCCCAGCAAGATACAGCACTACTCAGTTTCCCTAGCTCCATAAGGTCTTCCACTCCAACAAGACTTCTTTTTTCAGTTATACTTTGTCATATCAAGTCACTTGCTGCAAACACCTAACTACCACTGCCTGCTCTATGTGAACAGCGAGGTACTCACCAAAAGCCACTTCTCCTACCAAGCTAACCAGCTGCGATGAAACCAGAAGAGGCTCAACATGTCCTAACAGCAGCTCATCTTCTGCAAGTAAAGCTCGAGGCTCCAGACTTCATTAATCAGTCAAATAAAGCATTATTTTAACAGGCACAACAAACATTGGTATTTTTCCCCAATCTACTATATGATTAGAAAGGAGGAGGCTTCCTCCCCTATTATTCGCTAGAAAAATTATGCCTTACCTATGGCCATCAATAAACTAAGCACTCATTTAAATTTAATTCATGTCATCAATAGTAAAGTATTTCTTACAGAATTAGGAAGAGCTTTAACTTTATAAACAAAAAAAAAGACACATAAAGCAAGAAAGCAAGACAATATTCTCCTAAATCCACCCTTATAAGATCTTCTTGAAAAAAGCTGTAGGAATATATCTAAAGCAAAGTTATACGAAAGAGCAGAAAGAAAACTCAGGCAACAGAGGAGAGTTTCAAGTGAGCTTCAGAAACAGGCAGAGACAACTGATCAAAGAAACAGAAAAAGGCTGTTTCAAAAGCCTTGCTTCAAAACCCCTAAGAAGAGGGTTCTGAGTTTGTAACAAATCCAACAAGACTAGCCTTGATTTAAGTTTTCAACTATGTTAACATTAAAAACAAGAAAGAAAAAACATCTACAAATTAATATATATGTATACATACACACATACACTCTTGTGTAAATGTATATCTCAAGATAATAGCTGTGTTAGTAAAAAAATATATATATACACACACACGCACCCTGAGACAAAGACTTCTCTAGCTCCATTATGCTGAAGACAATTTATTTATCAATTAAATACAAACAAAATCAAAGTGTAAACTCTCAAGGTTATAAAGACATTGTTTTAGTCATACAGTATAAGTCAACTGCGTGTGTACCCAAGACTCTCTAGATAACAGTAACCTTGAGCTGTGGCTTTTGGGGATTTCACTAGTAACTTTGACCAGCGCTCCCGCGGTAGCGCATGCAGAAGAGCTCGATTACACCACCCTCAATTGCATAATAAACCTAAAAGTGTTCTGCTTCTTACCCAGGAATCAGATCATTTACCCACTCTGGAGGTCAAGGCTATTAGGCACCCTTTATAATTGATTAGGGAAGAAAACAATGCCGGTAAAAATTGTCAAGGAAGAAAAACATTGAGTAAAAGATAGTGCGTTTGATGGTTTGGTAAACTGACGTTTGAGTATGTGACTTAGTACAGCTAATGCCAGGTCAGATCTCTGGAACAAGGTACACACAACCCATACTGGAAACATGGATTCTGTAAAGAGCCAGGAAGATGAATAGCACAGAGAGAAAAAAAGAAATGGCCAGCTGAATCACACTTCTAAAGGGATCCAGCAGCAAACAATCCTTTTCTGTATGAAAAATACAGAGCAAGATTAAGGAGGCAATACCATCTATATGTTCAGTAATGCTCTTAGAAGAGCCTCCAATACTACTCAGGCACAGCATACGTTCACACTTTCAAAAACATAAATCTACAACTTAAAAATGCATCACAGAAGAACTACCAGAATTGTAACATACACGTAACACGTGCCACTAACAGACCTCATATTAACTGTTCTCCTATTCCTTTTTAGTTAGCAAAAGCATAGCATGACATTATGCTATTCACCCTGACGAATTTCAGCACCATCACTCCAAAAAAACAAATGCACTCACACATGTGGCCAAGTGTTCTCATATGCCAAAAAAGCATATACTAAACACACAAATAAAGTCCATCTTCAATTAATACTGAAATACTAAGCTAAATACTAGAAGCTCTGTCCCTTTTCCTCCATAGATACATTCTATAAAATTCCTAAGTTCTTTGCCCCTATGCTGGCAGCCTGTCTCTTTTCTTCAAGAACAGATGTCCACACAGAGTTATGTTTACCTGTCAACCAAGAGCAGCTAATGCTACTACTGGCATTATTTTTATTTTGTTTGGGAGCTGGGAAGGAAACACATTTACTGAGAATTCTGCAGGATGATACTTTTGTTAACAGCAGGTTTAGAAGAGATGAGTTAGAAAGGAGAGCGTTGTTTGACTGTAAACTAAGGAACAAAGTTCAAGGATACCACACACAACGCAACACGAAGTGGCAATAAGGACCAACAACCACTAAAAATTCAAAACACAAGGCTTTTTAAAATCAGACTAATAAACTAAAACTACACTCAACTCAAACTGCAAGTATCATTCAACGGAACAAATAATGGCAAATTTTAAATACACGGCTTTAAAAGAGGGATTTAATTCTAAACAAAATTTTACTGAAAATTCTACAGTTTAAAGTGCATCACCCAAGAAATTATTTCAGAAGGTTCTGGAAACTTGAAGAGACCAAGAATGCATTGATTCTATTTGAATGTTCCATAAGAGGAAAACAATGCCTTAAGAATTTAGGAAGCTGGAAGCCAAGACTGAGAAGGTGGTGTGGTACAAGATATTGCTAAGACAAAAAAAACAAACCACCACATCTAGAAGCATGATAGATCTGCAGGGGTTAGGTTCCAGAATTTATCACAACGAAAGTATAGACCAAATCACAGATTTTGGCCTCTGCCAACTTCCATATATCAGTGAAAGATTAAAGAAACAGAGAGTCATACACAAAGGGAGTTGGGGTTGGAAACAGATTTCCAGACATATCATGATCAATATTCATTCAGAAAAAGCGCAAGGGAACAGTTTAAGCAAAAAGATTTCCCCTACTGAACTGCCCCCAGCAAACATATGAAATACCTTTAAGCAAGAAAATAGTAGTTCATGAAATCACATGGACAATTCAGCCAACCTAAACCACATTGCAATATCACCTCTGTTTTACCCGGCTCCTGATCTTACAATGTTGGAGATCAAACATCTCATGAGGTTTTGGTTGGCTGGTTCAAGGAGGACATAATTCTTCCTCCTCAACACTGGGACTTAAATATGAGAGTACAACAGTTAAGCCATCCATCCCACCTCACATATGTTCAGCTATAATGAGCTAGATAATAATGACTCATTTCTTCCATTACCTGTCTCTGAAACGTAAACAACAGGATCCTGCTTTAGAACTTTACCACGTTTTGAAGTAGCTGCTTTTTTCTCAGGTGGCTTCTTGGATTTTTTCACCGACTGCACCTCCTCTTCTGAATCTGTATTTTGACCACAACATAAACAGAGATTTTCTCCACATATACAGAGACTTCAAGTAACAGATCAAATACAATTAGTTAACATGTGTTAGTAAACATTCAACTGTTTGAGAAAAAGAATATGCAAAGGTCAGAATATAGCTTCATGTTTCCCCAATCAGTTAAAAGACTGGTCAACATTTATGTTATCATGTACAGAATTAAATAAAAATTTGTCCAGAGCTCAGACTACACTTCGTTTAAATAACAAGACTTTCTAGCTGATCAGAAACCTGTCTGAAAATATGAGCACAACTGCCAGTGTTTCAAAAATGACAAATTTTATCATGCATTCATTAGCCTGAACTTATATGCCTACATAGAATGCTATATAATGCTGGACAATACAATGATCCAGAAACTATTAACAGGCTAAACCAGATCACTGAGGTTGTACTATATTTTTTCCAAGAGGACACCATCCTGATTGGCCTTTTCCATCTCCCAAAACTTATCAAGAGGACAAAACCAAAGGGCTGAAGATTACACTTCATTACACATAGATACCACCATCCAAATGAACAAACAGGACAGAACCTGAAGAAGCTCAGAAAACTAGCATGTGATAACAGTGGCTAAGCTTCAGAGCCTTTTTCTGTGGCATATACTGATGTATCTGTATCTTTCCTTTGTTTAAAACAAAGGAAAAACCCTAATAATTACAAGTTCATACCACCACACTCACGTATTTCAGTTCATGGGAAGCTTTTCCATCTTCAAAAATTTGAAGTAATATTTCCCTAAAGCTGAATTACATATTACTTTTATATTCCAAACCCTATTGCAGAAATATTCCCTGGAGTTAAACAGGACAATGTTTATAATGACAACTTTTCCAAATTCTGAACACATTTTTCCCAAGTATATTGGCACTGGGACAGAAACTTGTGTCAGTGTTTTTCTTCTATAAGAGATGCGACTATCTATTATTAAATAGTACTTAAAAAAATCAGGCCAAAATAGGAATCAAGAATTCAGCAAGACTCAAGAATTGTAGGAATTCCTGCAACCTTTTCTGCACTTTCACAACAGCTCTGCAAGATTCAGAATCCAACCAGACAGAGATTAATTTATAAGTTTAGAATTCCTAGTTTGAACTTTCTTGGCTTTAATGCTATAAACTGGACAGGCAAGTGTGGGGTATTTTGTTTGTTTTTTTTTTTTTTTGTTT